GAATTGGTGCATTTTAAGTGTATTTATTTATTTATTTATTTATTTAGTGATTTATTTATATATTTCTGCTTTTATTTATAATTATGTCAGTTTTGTTCCTCCATACAGCAGAACTTGGAAGGTAAATCAGTGACTGAATCAGGTGTGTTGGAGCCAGGAAAAATGTAAAACATGTAGGGCTGCGGCCCTCGAGGACCAGGACTGCCCAACCCTGCTCTAGATCTAGAAGGTAAGGTGTTGAGTGTTGTCCTCTGCTGTGACCTTATTGAGGTGACAGTGCAGCCCGTTGTGAATGATCGAGTGAAAGTTCTCCAGGCGGCTCCCGTGGAATGCATAAAAGACGTCCCGTCCTTCTCTTGTCTTTTCAAACCTGGTGTTCAGGTGGTCAGAGTACTCCAGCTCAAACAGGAAGTCAGGCACGGGTGCAGAAGTGCCATCATTTTCTGTCAGGTTGCAAAGTTTGGCATACTGGTGAAAATGAAATGAAAAGACATGCTGTGAATAAAACTGTAAATACAGAAAAGACTAAAAGCTGCGTCCATTTGTAGCCGATACCTCCTCCCTTTGTAGCGTCTTTACTGCAAAACTCTTTGAAGACAGAATCCAGTGTATGAGAGCCAGGTGAGGAGCGCCCTCTCCAGGTCGGAGTCTCACCACATCTCTCACACCAGGCAAGGTGTTCACATCTGCCAGCTGAAGAGTCAAACAACTCTTTAAAAACATGCGAGCACAAAAGGAGTTCCAGATTTACAGCATCAAACATTTATATAAGGCCAGTCAAAATGTTCCTCTTATGTTGTTTTAGATTGATAAAATAAAACAATAATTGGCCTCCTGTTTATTGTAATCAAGTTGTCAGTTCATTACATCCCCAGACAACAAGTGAGTCATTTCAAAAGGCAATAATTAATGATAAAACAAACTAAAAGTTATGCATCTGTACCATAGACTTAAATAACACTGGAGTGGGCCTTGCTTATCCCGTCCACTGTTAGCATCTGTGACAACACGGCAGAGCAAAGACGGCGTCCAAACAGGGCAACAGCTCACAGCCGACAAAGCAACTATTTGATTAACAGCAAGTCAATTTCATTCAACAATCATGTGAAACAGCTCATTATTTATCTAAGGGAAATATATAATTCATGAGTAACAATGATCTAATCTAGATCCGAAGTCAGTCAATAACACTTCTACGTTCATTGAATAATTCTGACTTTAACTAGTAAATACAAATATATAAAACAATAACCTATTCAGTAATTAACACTTAAAAATGTTCATTTTATAACTGGTGATATTTTGAACACTTTTCAACAAGTCAGGTTTCTAATAGAAAGCTAAAAAACTGTCAAATATGTAGTAATATACACTGTAAATATTAGATAAATAGGAAGCATAACCAGCTTGTAATATTTAAAGATTTGTGCTAAATTTTAGCATGATTCCACAGAGTGCTATACTCTGTATAACAATATATGCTACAGAAGTTAATTTCTGCTAATATTTATCAGATCACATCCACATTGATGTAAATAAGATAAAATGAGTTTACTCGTGAAATGAGGCGTTTTCCTGTTTCTCTTCTGTTATTAAATCCATATCACACAGCTTTCTGATATTCTATATACATCAGAGAGCTTATATATACTTTAATATGTTAATATCTTAGTTACTATTTTCATTAATAGATTTTACAATGTGTACATAATCAACCCTCATTGCTCCTTATTTTGGTAATATGTACAGCAATGCTAAATTCCATGGCCGATGCTGCTACAGTAAATCACAGTCACTTGATCAAGTTGCACTCCAGCTGTTCTATTTAATCTCACTGATCTGTACAGATGCCATAAAAGCTAAATTTTGTGTTTCTATTTTTAAAACTTTGTTTTTTTAACAATACTGCCACCAAGTGTGCATTTCTTTTCACTATGACAGGTTGTAATTTGCATGTGTACTCTTCAGTGGAGGGAAAAAAAAGTTGAATTGTTTCCTTAACTATTTTAATAAGCAAAGACAACTGCGGGGCTGATTGATGTGCATGCAGAACCACAATATCACATGAATCTAGAAAGCTTGAGATTGTCCCATATGCTCTTACCAGCTCCTCAAAGTCCTTATTGTCGCCACTCGTGTATCGAGGAGGGAAGGGTCTGAGCAAAGAGTCTCTCTTGTAGCTCTGAGCAGCAGCGACAAACAGGCTGCAGCGGAGGTCTGCTGCGACTGGGTCTCTGTGTAGACAAGAGCTCACCAGCTCTCTGACAGCTTCAGGTGGCAGCGGTGGCTGCATCCCCAGCACTGCACAAACAAAGACAATACAGGAAGTGGCTGTAATCATCAAAAACTGACATCAGAATGATAACAGACAAGGCTCACTTTAGGTGTTACTGTTAAGATACCCCCTTTCTTCTTCATTAAATGCTCAAAGCTATTTGTTTACCTTATTTGTTAACCTATCCACCCGAGTTTCCTAATTAATTTGAAGAGGGATAGATTTTTACAGGGATACAAAACATGCCACTGATAAGTTTATTAAACAGTTTTAGCTAGCTTTAGTGTACAGTGTGAAACATTTTGACACAGAAATACGAATGTAAAGCACAGTTGCCATTTAGGTTCCGCATTCAATAAGTTGTTTGTGCCTTGGAGGCAGTAGGTGGGTTGTTGAAAGTTAGCTACACAGCTAACTTTCTGCTAACATTAGCTGCGACACAAATATATAGGTCAGTCTGTAATAATACTAGTGGCTTTGCAACATTATAAAACTTGTGTTGGCTCATGTCAGGAAAACATCACCGTGAGAAATATTTATTTACAAACAAATAATTGACTGTGCTTACCTTCTGTCTTGCTCAACTCATAGCATTACAGTAACATGGAATGCCAAGCTTAGCTTAAGTACTGAGGCGTTCAAGGACATCACAAAAAATTGTTTTCAGCGCTGCTCGGCAAAACAAAAGTGCAAAACAAAGGTCGCTGAGATATTTAAGATAAACCATAAATGCATCAGCATTTCAAAGTAGAACACACAAGGACGTATGATGAAAATAGCTCAAATATAATTTTCAGAAGTTTTTTTTCTTCTCGCACCGACACACAAATAGAATGAAAACCATAATTTACGATAACACCAGAAGGCAGCTGAGTTTTTTCAAATTCTGTGAGTGGTGTCAAATTGCATATTCCTTTTTGAGTTTGCACAATCACTTAATTAAAGCATCGACTTGGACACTGGTCAATAATTTATTCATCAGCTAATACACACGAACATAAATAAAAATAAAAATAAAAACTAAAGCTACTCACGACTTCCGGCTGTGCTTAACCCCGGACAGGGCGCTAGAGACATCTAGTGGCGAGGGTAAGCAACTACACCTACATACCAACACATACCACAGAATCAGATTTGTGGAGGACACACACACACACACACACACACACACACACACAC